GATAATTGAAAGCTTCTGAGAATCCTTCTTTAGTACTATGTGTTAGGATATTAAGAAACTTTTATAGTAATTTTTACTGTTGTTTACATTTAAATAAATAAATAGGAATGTGATATATTTGGAGTGTGATAATCCTATAGAGTTCTTTTTGACATGCCCCTTTTTTTTTTTTAATTTTTTGCTCCATCTCGTGTAACCTGCATCAGCTCAGAATTAAGTCATCTAGACAGTAACTACTTTAGCAAATGAAATAACAGTTGTCGTGGTTTAAGCCCAACCAGTAACTCAGAACCACACAGCTGCTTGCTCACTAACTGCTGTGTTTTTGACTTTAGTTTGAGAACACAGCACTGCACCAGCTACTACTGTTACGGCTGAGCCCAGGACAGCAGTGCAGAATAACAACAATAATGGACCAATAAGAACATCAGAAAAAAAACCAGACAGGAATTATTTTACCACTTTTGTCACTAATTGCTTTAGAAGAGCTTTTTGTTTAAAGAGTTTTAAATACATCATCCAAAATATTCAGTTAGTGGCAAGAGTTACAAAACAGGTGACACAGTCTAGTTCAAAAGAAAACAGCAAATAACATGTGTTTTAAAATTTTACCTCTAATTACCTGTTTAGTAGAGAAAGGACTCTAAGCAAATGCTAAAATTCAATTGGCTTAAATCCTTAGGTGGTAATTAGTGAAAGTGACTACTTTTAAGACTTTTATATATCCTGAACACACAGGGGCTACTCAAATATGTTGAAAATACAACATCACCTTGATCGTTATCTTTCACATCACTGTTTACTGAAGTTGACTTAGTGGGAACCTTCTGCAAAATTCAGCTCTATAGACAGTGTGTTCAGTCCAAACTGCTGCAGCTCAAACACACCTCCCATTTGGAATGCTGAGGAAATCAGGAGGTGGTCCTAATGGATTGGAGCTTAAATTATATGAGAATTGAGAAACCTGAACTTCCTAGGGAGTGCTTTGGAGCAGACTGCTGTGAACTTCAGATCTGTGAGGAAGCAGGCTTGAAGGCAAGGCTTACTTCCTCAGGACCTTAGCTCTCAGCAGCTTTGTGACTGAGAGGAGCATGAGTTCCACTGGGCAGCTGCAGCATCTGTGGAACCACTACAAAGAGAAATACAAAGTCTGTATGTATATGTACATGACCTGAAACAACATTCTACTGGTGGCCTGTAGCAGGTAAGTAAGGCTTGATTTTACTCAGTGGCACAATGACAGTCCACTTGAGCATCTTCCTGCCAGTTATGTTCTTTACTAGTGGAAACACACCCCATTAATAACTTGCTTCAGCACACATAATAACGTGAGGAGCAGGGCTTGCCTGGAGGCAAATTCTGCAGGTGGTAGTGGGCACACTTGTCAGAGATCTCGCCTGAGCCAGGCACCTGTCTGACATCCATGGCCAGCAGCTATAAAACCTTAATTTCCTTGCACTTCCTGAAGCATTTACTGCCAACAGACAGTCTGGTCCAAAACTCTTTTCCACATGACAAAAGTTTAATGTTTCTGGAAGAGGTTCTTAAGGTTGAAGCTTCTACTATCCAGCAAGATGACCATAGAATCAAAGAATGGTTAGAGTTGAAAGGGACCTAAAGATCATCTAGTTCCAATCCCCATGCCCTGGGCAGGGACACCTCACACTAGTCCAGGTTGCTCCAAGCTCTGTTCAGGGTGGCTTTGAGCACTGCCAGGGATGGGGCAGCTACAGCTTCTCTGAGCAACCTGTGCCAGTGTCTCACCACCCTCACAGGGAAGAACTTCTTACAAATATCTTATCTAAATCTCCCCACTGATTGACTGTTAAAGCCAACCCTCTTTGTCCTATTCCTACAGGCCCTTGTAAAAAGTTCCTCTCCATATTTCTTGTAGGCATACTTTAGGTATTATAAGACTGTTAAAAGGTATCCCCTGAGCCTTCTTTTCTCCAGGCTGAACAAGACCAACTCTCTCAGCCTGTCTTCGTAGGAGAGGTGCTCCAGCCCTCTGATCATCTTCATGACCTCTTCTGAATGTACTCCAACAGGCAATGAAGAATGGGATTACCTGAAAAGATAACTTGTGTTTTCTTATGCATAGGGGAGATATTGTAAAGGACAGACATATTTTTGCATGTGAAAAAGCATTCCTTGCAAAATAATCATAAGGCTGCTTTGCAGTTTGTATGAATGTCCTTAGTGCACAGCGTGTGAACACACAGGCTGATAGCGAGTCATGTGAACATACACAGAATTAATACTAAAATGTTATGTAGGATGCATTTCTTTACATGCAAACAGTATTCTGAATGACAGCCTCCCCTTCTTAAAGTTAAAGCTGGAAGGAGACTCGTCCTGAATAACAAAGCTCATATTTGCCACAAAGGATTATTATTATTCACAGGATCTACTTTTCTTTCAGCCTTTCTGACACTGATAATAGAAGATACATGCATGTATGGTACAAACTGAAATCTTTATAGAAAGCACTTGAGCCAATACCTTGGAAGTCTGCTCAAATAGTCTCCCAGAAACTGAAAAGCAAAAATTACTCTTTGTAAGAAAATTGCTTTTACAGGGGAAGAAATGCAAAGTGGTTGGTAGGTTTATAAAATATTGTATAGGAAAATATATGTTTTTCTGTAACAGTGTCATCAGCCAAATCAGTTTTCCCTCACACACATACTGAGCCAGTCAACCTTGTCTTGGAGAAATGTGACCTCTTACATGCAATTCATTATTTTTCTAATTTGGAAAAAGATGTCAAATGTTACATTTTTCTTTGGTACAAGACTTTCTCCATCTTCTTTGAGTGAGTGTGCGTTGATGGTTTTCTGTTCTTGACAACCTTCATTCTGTTTTCTTTCCTGGAAGCTGGTCGTGATGCCAAGAGAGGGCAGCAGCCAATCGCAGAAGCTTCATGCTTGGTCCTGTATTGGGTGACAACGGAATTTAATTTAAAGGATCGTTAGCATAGAAGCTTTGTGTCTTTCTATAGTTACTGCTCAGTATACATAGCCCACTGACAATTCATTCTTACTGTAAAAGCAAACCTCTGAATTGTTCTGTTTTCCTCATGCTGCCTTTCAAACAAAAGAAATAACCCCAAATTTCTGCTGAATAATTGGAAATTGAGTTCTGTGCCATGCTAGACAAACAGGCACTGTCCTGGCGCTACTGTATAGAAACATTGATAACATAGCTGCATTTCCACAGCTTTACAGGAGTCTAAATGCACATAAAAATCCAGTATACAGCTACAATGTATCTTTTTATCCATGTATAAGACATTTTAATTTTTCATGCTGTCAGCTTCCTACTGCATTACCATAATACATTGGTCTGTTCTCTAATGAACAGCATTTTGTCTCAAGTCCACCATTCCTGTAAGATCCAGAGCCACCTCCTTCATATGTGAGGCTGCATGATAAGATGACCACATATCCTTGAAGACATACTTTTTCCAATAATTATTGACTTGATCCAGGTTGAACCTGCTTCAAAGAAGAGAAGAAAAAAACAAGCAAACAAAAATCCCCAACAAAAAAAAAAACACAACCACCACCACCACCAACAAAAAAAAAAAACAAATAAAAACCTAAACAAGCAAAAAACCCCACCAATCTGGTTGTTTTCAATGCAGTTTATTTTTACCCCAGAAGGAGGTGCAGTGTTTTGGCCCCTGCCCATGAGGGCATATGGCTCTCCTGCCCATATTTTTAAGATTGCAACTTTAAAACACACCATTCACAGAGGACTTCCACTTAATGAGGAAAACATCTAGTCTAACAGAAAATGAAGGTAGAGGGAGGCTCTGCGTGGACTTTGTGTTACTGCAGGATGTGAGTGTTGCTGCTCTCTGGGACTCTGCTCTTCCCCTGTCAAGCATGGACACTGCCACTGGAAAACACCTAAAGCTCTACTGGTAAGGTGAAACTGGCACCTAAGGAGAGAAGTACACTGTGCAGAGCTAGACGGGGATAGAACAGTGGGAAAGCGTGAGGTGGTGGATGTCTCCTGCCACTTGTATTATACTTAGACTTGAACGGACTATTGCTTGCTTAAACTTGTGTACAAAAAAAAAAAAAAAAGGAAAAGCTGTGAGGTCAGACTGAGACCTAGCTGTGGGAGACCTTGATGGGCTTTTCAGGCAAGAGGAGCAGAGGGAACACCAACCCCACAGGGAAGGTGTGCAGCCAGTATCAGGCCCATGTCAGAGACCTCTCTGGCTGGCCAAGGAGAGCACCCATGGTCCAACCATGCCATGTTCGTTGGAGGCTGTGGCAGCAACCATCTTATTAGTGGCAAAGAGATTAAAAGAGCAGATAGCAAATGCGGCATGGGAGCAGTGGGGTTATGCCAGGCAGACACTGCTCTCTGTGTGAGTACTACTGCCTTCATTGTCTGAGGCCAGGCTCTGCACTGGGTGTCCTCTATTAGGCAGGCAAGGGCACTGAAGCCCAAATTAATTTAAAGACCAATTCAGTTGCCTAAATTCCCTGACAGGTGTGAGCGTTGGCTGCACCTTCATGCTACAGCTAAATCAGTTTGGCAGCTGCTGAATGATCCCTCCTGCCCTGCTCTCCCCTGGGGGGTTGCTCAGGTCTGCAAGCAGTGTAAGCAGAATTAAAAACCCCAGAGCCTTCAACTGCTTTGTGCAAATGGAGGATGTTCCTGTAAACTCAGCTCAAGCTGTGCAAATGAATAAGAAATAAACAGGAATGAGACAACAAAATGCTAGCTGTTCAGTTTTCTGCAGGTTGATGTGCCTTTTATCACCTCTCAGAGCTGATGTATTGGCTTTGTAATGCTTCTGGCAGCTGGGAAGCCCCTGTGTAACTGTCACTGATTTTGGCTGGAGTAAGAGCAAAGGTCACACACAGGATGGATGAGCTTCCACTCTGCCATCCCTACACCAATATCTTCAGCAGCACAGCCACAAGAGCTGGACCCCTTGGATGGACTGGTGGGTCTCCATGGCAAGTGTCTGGCCTGCTTGCAGATTGGATTTTTCATCAGCAAAAACAGCTGGAAACTACTGAACTTGAATATCAGCTTTTCTCCCAGCACTTCTGCCTTCTTTCATTAGCACAATAGCATCCTCTAGTCAAATAAGTTTGTTGTTTAAAAAAGGCAAGTAATTCCTTTTTCACATTGTCCTAGCAGTCAGTAGTTCTTTTGCCTTTTTCTTTCTCTTTTTTTTTTTTTTTGAGTGGAGAAAGCAGACATTATTTACAGTGACAAATCGTTTTTGGACGTGTGTGGTTTTGTAATGGGCAGTAGTAGCTCCAGACAAATCACTCTTAGCAGAGAGCAGCAAAAGGCTAACAGCTTGAGTACAGGTCTAGGAGACTGCAAGCCAATTTATGAACTGTCAGGTTTCTCTGCTGAAATCAGGGGACCTACAAGCAGGACTTAATGAGTTTGCAGCAGTAACAATACTACTGAGGCTGTTTTCTAGGTTTGTGACTCTGTGCACTGACAAAGATGCAAAACCTGCTGCAGAATAAATTTGGTGTTAAATCTCCAATAATCTTTGCAGTGATACCTTGTAATGAACATGTCTTGTAAAATTTAAATGGTGGTATCAGTGGCTCAGCATGGACCATTATGCTATGAAAAGAAAATTGTGAATGCACCTTGGTATATGTTTCAGTCTTTCACCTCCCTTTTAAATGCTCTTAACAGCAGAAATTACAGCTCTCCAATACGTGGGAGGCCACTGAATAACCGTGTTACACAGGAGAAGACTTCTTTTTTTTTGTCTTTCAGACTGTTAATGCCCTGTAGGAGGATGGTCCTGGCTTTGCAAAACAAGTGGAGAAAATTTTCCGCCATTCTACATATGAGCGAGAGTGAGAAATACAAAGCAAGGAAAGGATGAAACAGAACCGAGAACACTTTTTAGGGAAAAAAAAACAAAGCTGTGAAGACAGAAGAATAAAGCAAATATTATATTCCTTGATCTTGTTTTATAAAGGAAGGGAAACTCTTCTTCTGGTGAAACTAATGGTAAAGTTCTCTGCCAAGCATGTTAAGGACTGCTGAATGCATGCCATATATGAAGGTACACATGTCACTGTGTCTACTTAGAATTACAAAATGCTGCCAACCTGAAACCCCAGCTATATTTGGCTTTATCTTGTGAGCTCTGCCAGAAATGTGCTGTTTTCCAATAATAACATACAGCTTTTCATATCTTATAGCTGATACTGAAAAATACTAAAAACAGAAATACCTGTAATCACAATGAAATCAGTGCATTATGAATGACACTCTATGAAATATGGTGTTACTTTGAGAAATGGGTATTTCAAAGATGCCTTAGTTTTGTTATGTTTAGGATTTTTGCTATAAAGTCAACATTTGCTGATTTGTTTTGTTGTTTCAAGAAATATTTTCTTGGCTCTGACTAAACTTTGTCAGGCATATTCTTTAAGGGAAAATATTAGGCAATTATATTGGAGAAAAATAGAGTGGGAGACTGGCTTAAGGACAAGTGTTCTGAGCTCAGGCTGGAAAAGGAGAGCCACAGAAATGTCACCTATTTTAATTACTTGTATTTTGTGCACTTCACTTATCCCAGGTTTTAAGCATATTTGAACAGATTTAAGACGGATCTTCAGTGTTCTTCTTTCCTCCTGTACTTCACAGGACCATGAGTGTTAGTTAAGATTCAGTACGCCAGCTTGCATCAGGTTTCACTGTAGTTTTATATTGCTGATGTGGAATGTAATTCCTAAAATAGCATTGGTAATCTTTGCTTTTCTGCTAGAAATTAAACTGAAACATGATGGTTGTTTCCCAAATTACTGAAATCTGGTTATTCCTAATGTAAGGATTGTCATCTCTGAGCTAAACAATTTGCCCCTTACTGAAGACAAAAAGCAGCAAGAGGGCCTTTAGTGTCTGGATCAGCATCAATACCAAGCTTGTAGGAGGTAGCTGACGTGATAGCTGTGCCATTGCTTGCATGCGGTGTGGTTCTAGACACAGTATTTTGTGTTCTGCTTCTGTTCCCTCCTTTGCAAGTGAGGACAATAACAGCCATGTATCTGTGTCTCAGAAGTTTAGGGTAAGAATCAGTTATGGACTCATTATGTGTCCAGGTAGGAAGGCTCTCTTTCAATCACCCCCAGTGTCCCCACTGCTGCGAGTGATTCCTATCAAAAACAGAGGGGTGCTTATGATCCCAGCTCTGGCCACCAGATCTCGACAAAGGAGAGAGACGCCCTGCAGGAGACCCAAAAGCACCACAAGCATGAGTTGAAGGTTTCAGCTGTGGGAGGCTTTCGGAGTTCTGACAGTGCCAATTCATTTAAGTGCTGTCTACAGTACTTTCTACTTTTTCTTATTCCCCCACAGCGTAAATGTACTTTATCCTGTGATGTTTAAAACAGTAACTGTAAGACAACCTGTCTATAAACCATCTATCAAGTGTATAAACCGTAAAAATGGGAAGATTATGCAAAAAAAAAGACAGAAGGAAAAGTGAATGGGAAGAAGTCTAAAAGAAATAGGAGGTGATGTGGTCTGTTCTGGGCTGTTACGCAGTTAAATGCTTCCAAAAGGGGAAAGCAGTTATCAGGTTTGGATAGAATCTCAACAACCTAGAGACTCCTGTTCCTGAGCTAATAGACTGCTGCATTGCTGTTGCTAGTCATTTCTTCCACCTCTATAAAACCATTCTTTCTGACTGATCCCAGCAGATATCAGTTGGTTCGCTGGCAAGAAGCCCACACTTGCAGTGATAACCCACTGCGCTGCTCTCAGGCAATGTTTGAAGGTTAAAGTCCCCAGATCATTTACATTTTAATGTTGTTCTCTTTCAGTAGCTAGCGCAGGGAAAAAAAAAAAAAAAAGTTGTTCCTGGGAGTTTTGCTGTCTCCTGCATACTGCCTGCCAAGAACCACACAGACAGCTATCTCGTACACTAGGTGTCCCATTTTCACGCAGAAATGTGTGCTTTGTCTCTATTGACGACTACCTGTCTTCCTGCTGGTCTCACGAGGCTGCCTAGTGTGCTCCAGTCCTGATGGCTGACAGCTGCTTAGCCACTAAGCTAGGGTCTGTCTGGGAGCTGCACGCTCCAGTTGAATAAAACTGCTGTTCCTTGTCTTAGGCTGCATTTGCTGCTTAACACAGCTCTGCTGTACCTCTTTGCCAGACAGTTGCCTTTGTAGATTTCCCCAGCACTGCAGCAGAATGCAGTACTTAAAAGGATATGTGGGGATAGTTTAGCTAAAGGGGAAATTTTTATCTTGCAGGAAAGGAAAACTGGGAGGAAATTTATATCCTGCAGTAACAATAGAGCAAGAAATGCATGTCATCTAAGCATGACCTGCCCTGGCTCTTGCACTCGTGGGTGCTAGTGCTTGAAAACCAATCTGGGTGACCCTCCCCGTCTTTGGTAAGGTAAGAGAAAAACAGCTCAGGAGTTTTGAGCATACTGCTGAGTGAGCAATACTGCATTACAAAACACATATATGGAATTATATCTGAAGCTGAATTATTGCTCTCTGGTAGAAGCCAGAGCACTGTTGCCATGACTACTTCATTTGCAAGGGGGAGACTTTCTCCTGTACCTCAGAGCACCCTGCAGCTGGCAGCCTCTGCGCTGCCTCCTCTCTCTGGAAGTCCCAAATGTCACCTTGACTTCCTGTCTCCTCGGTACACTGTCCTGGCAGAAGTCAACACAGAGTCAGAGTGTGGACAGACCTCAGGAATGCTGAGCATTGTATTGGATGTGAGCGAAAGGCTCCTGGCCCTGGTGAGGGAAGGGGGGGTGGTTTTCTGGTTCAACAACAGTGTTTGAGGTTTTAATAGTTGGAATTAACAGCATTATTGATGCAAAATTTATGGCAGAATTGATGGTAGTATTAATGGCTGGAAATTGGACACGCCCAAACAGACAAGGGAGTGGTGAGTCCAAGGGAAGGGACAGCAAGGCAGCATGCTGGAAAAGTGCTCTCTGGCATTAGTCTCAGTTCCCTCTCCTTGCAGCCTGCTTGGAAAACTCTGTGTGTTTTCAGCTCTTAAACAAGAGCAGCTGTCACAGAATGCTACCTGTATTTTATTTACCTTATGATAGAAAGCAGTGCACAATTGGAAGCAGAACTGGCACACTTCATATGCCTAATGGTGTATTTGGCTTTCTCTGCAATAAGTTGTTTGTGATTTTAAATTTTCCTTTGCTCTGTCTAAAGGCCTATACTTCTGAAAAAAAATGCTCAGGCTTATTCACTGGAATAAGCCATTTTCTTTTTTTTTTTTTTTCTCACTTAAAAGTACAATCCTATTGCAAAATTTTGGCTGCTACCTTGCCCTATGCTGCATTCATCCCTTAGAAAAAGAAGAGGGTAAAACCAGCAGCTCTTCCTCTCAGAAAACCATCAATTTCATTTGGTGCAGCCTGTATAAGGGGCAAAAAAAGGCAGCTTCTCCTCAGATTTCAGTGCTGGGGATGATTTGCCTCTCCAGCTGAAAGCAAGAATATGGGGGGTACACAAGGAAAAGCCAGTGCCTTAGTATCCAAGGTACTAGTGGCATAAATACAAGAGATTTATAAATCTTAAATATGCTAAGGCAATCTGTAGAGAACAGTTTTAATGAGCTCAGTGCAGCTAGCATTAAAAGCCAAGCAAACAGCTCCAATCTGCTCTAACTGGATCTTCTGAGGCATATTTGTGAGAAGCCCCAGTAAAGTGCATTTTAGTAATCCAACCTGCAGAAGAATATGGGAGTATATGCTCATATACTGCAGCAGTGGAATAGGCAGCCTAGATAAGGCAGGAATCGGTTACATGGAAGTCTGTTGCAGACTCACTCAGAAATGCACCACCCCGCTGTTAAAGGCAAGCGTTGGAGAGCTTGTGAGTTTTCCTCAGGCAGGTCAGGGGTCCTGAGGAGGGAATGCACAGCAATGCCCAAAGGATGGCTGTGGCTGATGGCACCTCGCAAGGAGAAGAACCACTACTGAAATTACACCAATCTTTCCTATCAGAAAACCACCAGACAGGCAGAGACATCCTGCACAAGGAAACTGAGAAACTCAGTCATTAAAAAAAACAAACAAACAAAACCAAACCTCTGCATCCTAATTTAGAATTAAGCCAGGCTGGAAAGTAGTTTTCCTGTTACCCCATGCCCTCTGTTTCTTCAGGGTCAAGCTAGATTCAGCAGTCAGAGGTAGGTTAACAGAAGAGTCCTTTTCACAATTCAACAAGAAGTTATTCCCAGACATCTTTTTTCTAAGAGGCCACACACTTGCCTCTGACCAGCTGCTTATAGAAATGGTTAGAAGGCAAAAAATAGAGGCAGAAATCTTCAAAGCACATACACACGTGACTGCATGCATTTGTGTGTATGTACACACACCTCAATGTGGACAGAAGCCGCTGGGAAACACGATTTTTTGCCACAGAGAGAATGATTACTGGATATATTTGGCAGTGTAAGAGGTCACAGCCAGTCTGAACTGATCAGTGCTTCTGCAGGCTTCAATGACAGTTACAGCTGCAGATGGCTAAAAAGCAGGGACACATATAGCACTTGCATCTCAAGCCAAGGGCTGAAATACTACCGACATGCTCCCAGCCACTCAGCAGCTTCTGCACGAGCTGCACCTCGCAGCATGTTGCAATCCAGACTGTTGCCTAGCACTTGTACTGTGTTGTGTTTGCTCTCTGTGATCATGCTGGCTGGTGCTCATGATAAATGAAGTATTTCTCTGATTACACACACACACCTGCCTTCTACTGACGTCTATCTGAGAAAAAATAGCTTTACTACAGAAATGTTTGCCTCCAACCATTTTGGACACCTTGGAGCCTTTTATGCTTTCTGACAGCCCAGAGTGTTCCCTGGCCGATTAGCTCCAGAGTTTTTATCTGTAGTGAATTGGCAGGGCAGGGAGTTAAATAAGCATATTCCCAAGAATCATGACTAGCCTAGTAGATTTCATTGTAGGTGAAATGTCTGTTCTATACTTGGAAAGAAGAGGATATTATCTATTTTTCATTCCACCCACTGTGGAAATCTTGTAAATCCAATAGCTAAAATTCTGTTGTTCATCAACACTGTCAGTTTCATCTTTTCCTTGGTCTGTGGTCAAAGAGAGGAAACTAACAGGTGGATAATAAATATGGGGAAATAAAAAGGGCAGCAAAGAAACTGTAAGCAGCCTCTTCTGCAAGTTTCATATCTACAAGGATGGGCACAACCTGCAGGGCAGTGGAGGCTTCTGGTATCGCAAGAGCACAACTGCAGTTTAACAGAGCAAAGGATTAATCAAATCAATCTCCTGTAAGCAAAATCACAGTGCATGCCTAACATGTCTCTGCCAAAGGATCACACCATGCCAGAGCACAGCTTGACCCCAGCATGGCTAGCAACATGAACATGACTTGCTCTATCCAATAATGGCATAGTTAAAGTACAGTGAGCTCATTTTTAATGGTAAGCTAATTTTTTGTCACATCTTTTATCTACAGCTTAACCAAGTGTTGACTTGAAACAACAGTACAGATAAATATGATATTATTTCTTAAGGTGCAAATATTGCTTTGGCAGAGAATTTTACTCTGGCAGCTGCTTTTATTACATACACATGTACAAATATATAATTTAATAGCCTATAAAATTAGTATGTTTTGTATAAGGTTTTCATAAACTTTGAACAAACTCTATCATTTTCTTCGTATTTCCCCGTTTTCATAGTACAACTAGATGAAATTAGTGAACCAAATACCGTTATGGATACTGGGGCTAAACCCTGGCCCAGCAGCCTTTACTGGAAACAAAATGTTATCCTTACTCTCCAGGATGAATAGGCAGAGATGCTTAATTTCTCTTGAGAAACTAGGTACTTCCCCAGGACCTGCCTTTTCTGTCTTGGTCTGTGTCAACATGCAGGCTGTAAATGGTTTTTGCTATTGGCTGTTGTCATGGTTTAAAACCAGGCAGAGGGCTCGTTCACTCACTCCCCCCTCTTCTTGCTCTCCCCGTACTCCTGGAGGGACGGAGAGGAGAATCGAAACAAATGCAACTCCCACGGGTTGAGGTAAGAACAGTTTAGTAACTAAGGTATAACACAGATCACTACTACTACCACCAATAATAACACTGATAAAGGAAATAACAAGGGAAGAGAATACAACACCTCACCACCAGCTGACCGATAACTCACCCCCCCCCAGCCCGACCAAGCTCTGACCCATACCTCCTCCAACCCCGCAGTCCCAGCCCTTCCGGGTAACTCTCAGTTACATCCTGGGCATGACGTGCTGTGGTATGGAATACCTCTTTGGCTAGCTTGGGTCAGGTGTCCTGTCTCTGCTTCCTCTCTGCTTCGTCTCCTCCCTGGCAGAGCATGAGGCTCACAAAGTCCTTGGCCAAACCAAAACATCATTGTTATCAGCTCTGTTCCCGAGCCGAAAGTCAAAACACTGCACTGCACCAGCTACCAAGGAGGAGAAAAAATGACTGCTACTGCTGAACCCAGGACAGCTGTTAAGTGCCAAAGGACAAGGAAAGCTCACAGCTTGCAAACCTGCCAGAAGTTTTCAGTTCCTGCAGACTTGCATCTCTAGTCAGTTTATGACTTCTCTAACAATTCTAACACTAATCTGAACCCAGTTTGTCCACTTACACAACTAATAAATTCATGTCCAAGAGTTCTGTAGACAAGCAAGGATTACCAGTTAAAGAACAGACTTCATCATCTGGCTTGCCCAGAGTGGACTTGCATGAAGGTTTTAGACAAAAGGGTGAACATCTGGATTACTGATGTCTCCTAAAGGGAGCAATCACAATTTAGCAGACAGCCTAAATGTGCAAGTCCCAATTCAAGCACGTGTTCAATCTCCCCCTCTCTCCAACCTGAGCATCTGATTTCCCCAATTGCATAGTGGTCAAGGCTCCTCAAGGAAAACCTAGGATTCATGCTGTGCTTTAAGAGGTGTTTCAGTTTATTGAGCATTTTGGCATCAGATCACATGCTGGGATTTGCTCACAGATGCCTTAGGCATCTCTGTGCTAAACTTGGTCTCTTCTCCAGCTCCCCTTCCTGGGAGCAACCCAATTCTTGTACTCTGTATTCCCTTCTTGACCCAACTCTCAGCAGCTCTATGTACCGGACTGGGTGCCAGGTTAGGTAAGACGCACATTACATACAGTACGTATTGCAGCTGGACTGCCTGTCCACCTTGCAATATGCAACACAGTTTTCTGAGTTAGTTGGCCTAACAGAAATAGAGTCATGCTGGACAGAGCTTTCTTACCAGGATATTATTTCTGAGCTTAAGGATGCGATTTCTTCCCTTTATTTTCCTCCCAACTGCTGTTGACTAAAGCTGTTTAAACCACGACAAGCTTATAAAACTCTTCAAAAAAATTTCTCTACTCATATCTTTTGAAAAAAATCTCTGTTCTTCTTACCCCTACTTGTTTCTAATTCAGCATTCACACACAGTTGCATCTTCTAATCTCCCTCCATAAATTTGATTAGGAGAAATCTCAAAGGAACTCACCAACAGAGTTTAAGTTGACAAGTAGGCATTCTTTATTGTGGTGCCGGGAGACATGGAGATCGCTCCTCCTAGCATGTCTCATCCAAGCATCAACCAGGCTGTGATTATATTGTCCTTAAAAGTACATATTCATTAGGTTACATACATGTCGTGGTTTAAACCCATTATTCTTCTGGGCCACATGATAGAGAGGGCTTATAATCAAACTGTAATTTGGGATGTGCATTCTCCAGAACCCCACAGCACCCAAGAAGGCTTGCGTTTCTTTCTTATTAGTTGGTGGAGACATTGCTGTTATCTTGTTGATCACATCTGTGGGGATCTGGCGATGTCCATCTTGCCATTTTATTCCCAAAAATTTAATCTCCTGTGCATGTCCCTTGACCTTATTCCGTTTTATGGCAAAACCGGCTTTCAGCAGGATTTGGATTATTTTCCTCCCTTTCTCAAAGACTTCTTCTGCTGTATCGCCCCACACAATAAAAGCAAATAAATTTTGACTTTCTTTGGCCAGGCGCAGACAGAAAAATGCATCCTTTAAGTCCAGAATGGTAAACCACTTCTGATTATTCTTCAATTTAGTCAATAAATTATACGGATTAGCTACTACTAGATGAATATCCTCCACAGTTTGGTTGATTGCTCTGAGATCTTGAACTAATCTGTAACTTTTACCATCGGATTTCTTTACTGGCAAGATAGGAGTATTATATTCCAATTCACATTCAATTAATAATCAATATTTTAAGAATTTATCAATGATTTCTTTGATTCCCTTTCGATCCTCCAATTTTAAGGGATACTGTTTTATTCTAATTGGGCAGGCTCCCCTTTTATTTCTACTTTAACAGGCAAAGAATTTTTTCGCCTTACCTGGAACTTCAGATGCCCATACTCCCAGATATACCTGATTGAGGAGTTCTTCAATTTCAGGGAGATCTTCCTGTTCGCTTTTCTGTTGAATTAAACTCAAAACTTGAATTAATTGATCGGGTTCGACTCTTAATTCCATTTTGCCTTCTTTAAATGTTCCTTCTCACCCTAATAAAGATTTTTGAGAATTTAGCATGTATAAAAATTTATGCATTCCTATTTGTTTTCCCAATTTATACTCCAAAGGTTCCAGAAAGAATACCTTTTTTCTTGGTGGCCCATAGCTCTCACATCTGTAACAAATGTTTTTTCCTTCTGATTAATACCAAATAAGTTGCTCCTGTATCCCCTAAAATTTCCATTTCATTTTCTCTAGTCCCTACCTTTAATTTAACCAATGGATCTGCTAGGGTAGATTCCCCAGGTCCCCATCAATCTAGTTCTAATTCAGTCACCAGAGCCACTTTGTGGGTATTCCTTTTAGGGCAGTCTCACTTACAACCTTTGAATTCCTTACAGTATGCACACTGATCCCATCCCACAGGAGAAGAATACACTCTTTCACCTCTGCCTGACATTTCTCCTCTACCTCTGCATCATCATCTCATGTAAGTCCCTCCACCAGTTTCTACTTGTCCCAAAGCAGCCACCATAGCCGTGGCTATAGCACGACTTAGCTTTTTCTTCTCTACCTGTTCCTGATTCCTATACGCTCTCCATGCTTCTTTAACATTCTCAAGTCCTTCTGCTCTGTTGCCAGTGACAGCAACCTTTTCCTCATTATCAATAACAGATGGGGCAGATACCAAGGGTGGTCCTCTCGGAAGTACCTGTGAAACATAATCCTCCAACTATCTTCCTGATTACTCTGTTTTTTTTTAACTTTAAACATCTTTCCCCAATATCACAGGCTGAACAACATCTCTCCAGCTTAGCTTTCTGTGTTAACCTGTACTTTTCCAAAGCCAAAATTAAGGGATCTGGCAGAGCAATATTAATTTTGCATTCCATCTGCCACTCTGGGTGGTTTCTTAAAATGAAAAACATACCTGCATACACCAGTTCATCACATTTTTCTGTCATCTTAAAAATAACATTAATTGCAACAACATATTATAATTCAAAGTCCCATTTTTTGGCCATTTTTCCTGATCCTCCAAGGTATATAATGGCCACTATTACTTACAATATTTCATTAAAGTCTTTTTATTTACTGAGCCCCTGGGGGATCCTCCTAATCCTTTCCAATGAGCCAGAATACATCCCGAAGGGCTCTTTTCTATTATTTCCTTATACATGCTATACAAACGCACACCCACATGGGATCCCAAAAATTCCGCTCACTTTCTCACAAATTTGGAAAACAAAGATAAAAACATACACCAAATACACAAATACTAATTAGCAGCACGATAAAAACAGAAATGGTTCGCCATTCATTAATTACTCAAGCACAGCATCAAATGCCGGTTTTCAGAAATTGGGTCAGATACCAGGGAAATACAAACATGTTCCCGCATATGACGTCTCGTATGCCTTACAGAACAATTCAGAATGTACACCTGTATACCAAACGGATGCTAGCAGCTGGGTATGTGCCTTTATCTATGAGGTTTTTCTATCTCGATTTACAGAAGACTTTCTTATTCCTGCGTACTCCTTATGGAATATTAACCATGTTCCCATGTTCCTGCATTGGACGTCTCCTATGCCTTACGGAATGCCATAAAATAAAGCAAGCAAAAGAATACCTTTACAATGATAGTCATGGTCCTTGTCTGCTCCTGCAGTGATCCAAGTGAGTCAAGGGGTCCCTCCAGGGAAATCTGTCCTGGGGGCCCTCGGGAGCCCTGTCCTCAGTGGGTCCTGCAGCCAAGCAGAAAGGGTCCCATCTGTGGTGCCAAATTGATTCAGAGAAATCTCCAGGAACTCGCCAACAGTGTTTAAGTTGACAGGCTGGTATTCTTTATTGTGGTACCAGGAGACATGGGGATCGCTCCTCCTAGCATGTCTCATCCAAGCATCAACCAGGCTGTGATTATATTGTCCTTAAACATACATGTTCGTTAGGTTACATAAATTACATCATACTTTTAGAGAATGCCTCCTACATGCACACTAAAATGTGGTAGTGGGCTTTGTGTCCCCTGGTGTTTATTTCTTCATCACTTTGTTTTAGGATCGTTGTCATATCACCACCAGCGGGTTCTGGCAAAGCTCATCTTAGTAATTTCCTTTTCTCTATAGTTGCTAACAGAGCCTGATGTCCTTGAAGTTACTTGTTTACAACCCTATTCTTCAATCAACCCCATTCTTCAAATTAATACCACCAACTCCTTAATCATTTTGTTCTTCTCTAAATCCTCATCACTCGGTTTTCATCTTTCTGGTTCTGAGGTCTGTGGACAAAACAATCACAAACCTACGAACCAGCTTGCTAAAAGGGACAAACAGCAACCTAGGCTATGATACTGTGATTTTGTACATAAAATTGCAAATTGAATGTTTTCTCTTTGTTGGTGATGCTTTTTTAGTTTTTTTTGTTGGTGGTGGAGAGGCTACTAGGTCACATTGCAAATTGATTTCCAAGTGACTGACCATTAATGTCCATTGGTGTTCTCCAAGTTTGTGTGTATGGTGTCCCTCCTTTCCGAAGCTTGAAGATAGAATGGTTTTGGTGGGAAAGGACCTTAAGCTCACTCAATTCCAACCTTGCTGCCACAGGCAGGGTCACCTTCCGGTAGATCAGGTTGCTCCAAGATCCGTCCACCGCGGCCTTGAACACTGCTAGGGGTGCGACAAGCGCAGCTTCCCTACTCTACTGCCTTCACAGTAAGCATGTTCCGCGGAATCCACCAGCCGCGCCCCGGAGCAAGCCCCGCCCGCAGAGCAAGCCCCGCCCGTAGAGCAAGCCCCGCCCGTAGAGCAAGCCCCGCCCGTAGAGCAAGCCCCGCCCTGCAGTGGGCGCGCCGCGGAGATCGATCTCCCCTGCTGGTGGCTATCCGCCGCGCCCTACAAGCGCTTGAGCGGCGGCGTAGTCCCGCCCACAGCCCCGCTGCGATTGGCTGGCGGGCGCCCGCGCCCTTTTCGGATTGGTCTCGGTTGCGCCCAAGAGGCGGTGCTGCGCCGTCCCCCAGAGCAGGGCTGGTTGCGGGTGGTGGGGGACGGCTGTTATGGAGGAGTTGGATCGAGGGCGGGCGGAGGCCCGCCGGTAGAGTCCTGGGAAGGTAATACGGAGGCCCGCGTGGGCGGGGAGGTCGCGGTGGTCCTTGAAGGAGTGCTGAGGGGAGGGGGTGCGGGAGGGGCTTCTTGTTGAGGAGGGCCGGGATCCTCTGGGCGGGCGGGAGCTGGTAGTGAGGGAAAAGGCAGGCGCAGTCTCTCCTCCTCTGAGGCTCAGCTGGGGCGCGCGGTGCCTTCCTCGCGTGGCTTTCCCCGTGTGGATACATGTCTGTGTGTTTCTTGGGGCAGCAGGAGCTCTTCAAGCCGCAGCTCAGAACAAATCGGGGGCATGGCTCTTATCGCTGTAAGGGAGAAGAGGATTTCTCTTCTCCTATGGATAACAGGCGGGTAGGATCATCACCCCACCCCACCCCCACCCCCCCCAACAGGTTTCTTCAGGGGCCCGCGCTGCCTGGGGACGTCCCAGGGAAGGCGGCTGGACGCTAGCACACCGCAGAAGCAAGTGAGTGTAGCTGTAGAAAAAGCACAGTTGCGGTTACTTGTCTGTGAAGTAGGAGGTGAAAACATCCAGAATTCTTTCTCTTGCAGATTCATAGCAAGCACAGCTTGTGCTTTGTCAGGACCCCGTTCGGAATCTCCGTGTTGACCCGTCTAGATGAAACTCTTCTGAGAAGAAGCTGGGGACACTGTGTTTGGGCTGTGTGTATCTAGTAAGCTTTTGACCCTGAAAAAGGCAGGCGTGTGTCCTTTAAGAGGCAGAGAGGTGCAGACTAGATGGATCTAAAGACAGCAGTGTTCACTGCAGCTCGTGATGGCAAGCTGCGGCTCCTCTCTAAGCTGCTGGCAAGCAAAACAAGAGAAGAGGTAGCCCTACTGATATCAGAGAAAACCAGTGGTGCCACACCACTTCTGATGGCAGCCCGTTACGGTCATCTAGACATGGTGGAATACTTGCTGGACCACTGCTCTGCATCAATAGAAGTTGGGGGTTCTGTGAATTTTGATGGTGAGACCATTGAGGGGGCTCCGCCGTTATGGGCAGCGTCTGCAGCTGGTCACTTGAAGGTGGTGCAGTGTCTGTTAGATCATGGTGCATCTGTCAACAACACAACTCTGACAAATTCAACGCCGCTTAGAGCTGCCTGTTTTGATGGTCACCTGGAAATAGTAAAGTACCTTGTGGAGCACAAAGCAGACCTGGAAGTATCCAATCGTCATGGGCATACATGCTTGATGATCTCATGTTACAAAGGCCACAAAGAAATTGCTCAGTATTTACTTGAGAAAGGAGCTGATGTTAACCGAAGAAGTGTTAAAGGTAAGTTTGGGTTTTTTTTTTCCCTTTGTGGTGCATAAGGGTGAAGTCACTCATTTAACCTTCTTCAGGAGGCTGACATCCAAAAATATTGTGGTGGTTTACTTGTAGGTGGTTGAGAAAGAGGTGAAGTGTATTTAGTAATGTTCTTACTGTTCTTTTGTCTACTCCTTTGCTAACACAGGTTGTATAATTTCATTCTGAATTCACACATTTTAATCTTAACCCCATAATTCTTAAAAAGACAGTCATGAAAATTCACTTTTGTTTGTGCGAAAACCTGATGAACACACTGAGAAATCCTCTTTATAGATGTTGGTGTAGCAACGTATTTAAATATATGAGCATGTGTTCTTCTTCTTTATACTATTTCTTAACAAAGCAGATATGCAGGACATAAAACTGACCTATAGCAATAAGGCTAATACAAGGAAAGGTGCGTAAAGGAGAGAAAATATTTTCTGCATTGGAAATGAATAACCACTTTGCTTTCTACCATCCTTTTCCTCCAGATTCTTAAATAATTTTGGGCCTTTTTCAGTGCTAGAAAACAAAAACATATATGAAGATTAAAGTAATGAAGCTGGAGGTGACTGTGATCCAAACAGAAGGACTTCTGGTGGTGGGCAGATCACAAATGATATCTCTGTGACCTGTTTAGTTACCCTGGTGTTATCATTCAAAATGAAGATTTCTGGCATTTTTGCTGTGATCATAATTATGTGGCTCTCATGGTTTAAACACAGTTTTTCATTACATCTCAGACTTGTATGTGGGTGTGATATTTGCTTGAAAAGCATACCCATTGTTGGAGTTTACAGTTAATTTTTTAGCTGACTGAGCTAGGATTCTGCCTCAGCAGCTTATTTTATATATGTATCTATATATCTCACAGAATCATTGGGGTTGGAAGGGATCTCTGGGGGTCATCTGGTTCAACCCCCTACCAAGGCAGGGCTACCAGAGCAAGTTACACAGGAACTTGTCCAGGCAGGTTTTGAGTGTCTCCAGAGAGGAAGACTCCACGACCCCACACTGGTCCAGTGCTCTGCCACCCTCAATGTAAGTAAGTTCTTCTTTGTGTTGAGGTGACGCTTCTTGTATTTTAGTTACTGGCCATTGCTCTCCATCTGGTTGCTGGGCACCACTGAAAAGAGTCTGGCACCTGTCTTTGAGATATTTATATTATGAACTTGCTAATAAACCTTCTTGTAGTGTAAAAGGCAGTTTCCACTGCCTGTTTTAGGCAAATTACATTTGTAACAGTATACTATACTTTAAAGTTATTTCTGTTAAAGTATAATTTAGGTCTAGATTGTTGTATGATACTGGTAAATACCAAATATGAGAGTAATTCTTGGAAAAACAGTTAAATATGCCTTTCAGCAAATCATGCAGATATGTGGGTTTAATGTAAAGAAAACTAAACTACAGATTTGTCAGAAAGGTGGGCAGAGCAAAATAAACATAAATAACCTTATGTCCTTCGGTTGCTTATGAATCATCATGGACTGGTGATCGGATAAAAATGTCATTTTTCTAGATAGGTTTCTTGGAATAACAAGCTAAATATAAACTGTGTATTGCTTTTTAGCTTTAAACCTATCCCTTTATATGATAGGTGTGAACAGAGCAGTGCAGTTAAATGATGTAAAAGAGAAAATTATATATCTCTGCAGCTCTTTTCTCCCCTCATTTTGTGTTGGTGGAGTAGGCTTTACTATACTGGTCCTTATTCACTTGTGCATAAGCGTTATTTGCTTTTGCTGAGATGACTGAGTGGCAGCCACGCACTCCTGAGAATTTTCTCTCTTAATTCCTTCCTGCCTCTGCTTCTTTTAGTTTCCGTGTGACTCACACAAGTGAGCAAAGATTCATTAAGTGTAACTGATCCTTGTTTAAATTAAATTTAAAAAAGTTGGGTTGGATATGCTTTAGCTCATTAAAACTCATTTTATACTTCAAACTGCCATGTGTACAAATGGATGTGTGTACAAAATGGGTATCAAGTATGTGGAAATCGCTGCTGATATGACACAAATATACCTTTTCTTTTTGGCATCTTAAAGTAGTTTGATCTCAAATTGTTTAATAAGCAGCAGTGAGGTAGAAAGTGCTATAAAATCTGAAAGTGAAAGTCAGCAGTGGAAAGGCAGGAAAACTGATAGCCTTAAGTATTGCAGCAGTGTGGGTATTGCAGTGGCTTTGTTTTGCAAGCATTCTCAGTACCTATTAATTTCAAAATTAGTATTTCCAACAGGATTAATTCTATTTTGTCATGTCCACCTGTGTATTATTTTCAGGTTGTACTACTCCCTGCTGTACAACTGCTGTGTACTAAATAATTGACAGCATGCCTGCCCTTGTGTCGTGGTTTAAACCCAGTCAGGTAGCTTGTTCACTCACTCCCAGTGAGTGGTGCCGAGCTGACAACAATCGAGGTCCGTGTCCGTCTCCCCCCCCTGCCTCCCCGCACCGGGGCTCTCCCCTTCCCCGCTCCCGGAGGAACGGGGAGGAGGATCGAGAGAGTGCAACTCCTACGGGTTGAGACAAAAACAGTCCAGCAACAAATCACCACCGCTACTATCAGCTACAACAATGATAAGGGAAAATAACAAGGGAAGAGAATACGATACCACCGGCCAAGAGAAACGAGCTCCACCCGGAAACCCCCGTCCTTCCGGGTCACTCCCAGTTACCCCTCACCCCGGGCATGACGTGCTGTGGTATGGAATACCTCCCCGGCTAGCCCGGGTCAGGCGCCCCGTCTCTGCTTCCTCACAGCCTCCCCTCCTCCCTGGCAGAGCATGAGCC